CGAGCAGTACCGCCTCCTGCTGGCCGAGCGCGAGCGCACGCGCCAGTACAACGGGCACCTGCAGTTCAAGCTCTACGAGATCTTCCGCAAGAAGGGCGAGGAGCCGCCCCGAGCGGAGCTGGACGAGCTGGTCTCCGACAAGGAGCAGCGCTACGCCAGGTACCTGACCATGCTGGAGGAGCTGAGGAACCAGCTGGCCCAGCAGAAGGCCTGGTACCAGCTCCAGATAGACGACCTGGAGCAGCAGTGCACCGAGAAGCTGGGCAAGGTGAAGGCCGATTGGCTCGCCTTCCAGGCCTGCAAGAAGGAAGTGGCCCTCTTCACCATGGGGCGCCAGATGGGGGGCAAGGAAGCTGCTATGAAGGAGGTCGAGCAGATCCAAGCCAAGGAGCAGCGTAAAGAGAAGGAGATGAGTGAGGTGAGGACACTGCTAACAAGGGACATGTGCTGAAGTTCCTGAGCAGTGCCCATGAAATCTTTCAACGGGGCCTTAATAGCATCTCCTTAGTGTACTTCCCACTCCCATGCATATATGCACACATTTTAGATGATAAAAGCAGTTAGGCAGCTAACAATGAAGGAGTCACACACAGCAACTTTTGAAAATCTCGGCAGGTATCTAGCACCCGCTAGAAGTCAGTGGAAGATGCTTAATGGGTTAGGTCATTTATACTTAGATTTGACAAAGTGTAAAGAAGTGCAATCCCAATAGAGAGGTGGACTAGAAAAGCTAATAAATCTTTCGTGGTCTCATTTCTACCATGGTCTCATTTCTACCATTCTAGGTTCGCCTTGAAAACATCAAGTTGCAGCATAAGGTAGAAAAGCTGGAAGCAAGCCTGAAAGCACAAGAGGAGCTGGCAGAGGGGCTGCATTTGATTGACTTTGAGCAGCTGAAGATAGAGAACCAGACCTACAATGAGAAAATTGAGGAGCGCAATGAAGAGCTTCTGAAGCTCCGGAAGAAGATCACTAATACCGTACACATCCTGACTCAGCTCAAAGAAAAACTGCAGTTTGTGGAAGCTCAGAATCAAAACCAAAGGGCCCACCTAATCGAGACTGAAGCACTGGTGACCCAGAAAAGAGAGATTCTGACAAAAACAAAACAGGCTAGGGATAGTTTACGAGTGCACAACCTGAAATTGCGACAGAAGTGTGGGCTTCTCGGAAGTGAGGCACTGTTGCGGGACTTTGAGAAGAAGGTGGATGCTGCTGAGGTGCTAAGTCAGCAGCTAGAGATGCTGAAACGTCACTATGCTGGACTCACCCTTACTTGTAAAGCCATAAAGAAAAAAATCAAGGAAGCAAAATCCTTTCTATTGGAATGAGGGGTTTTAAGAGGGGAGGTTAAAGACAAAAACAAAAAATGAGAACTTAAGTTGGCTTAACTCTGAAAGTGTTTTCCATGTAAAGGCTTGATGTAAAAGGATGGAATAAGCTCAATTTCACATTAATGCACATTTTGATTCCAAGTCTTAATGTTATACTTTTCATCAGGAGACTGCCATGAAGTTATGTTTTTTTCAGTGGCTCATGAAGAAACCTAGCATATTTGCCTAATCACTGTCCTACTGATATATTTTAAACTAGATTTACCCAGCATCGGATCCTTAACTCAGTTTTTTTTGTTTTCCATTTAAATCATTGCAGAGGGGTGGGCCTGGAGATGAGGGGTTTAGTATGCAGGTTGATTACCCCACCCTTTTCTCACCATAGCAGCTTGGGATCAGGTGAGAAGCCTCTCTCCATGGCTGCTGCAGCTAGAGAGAGCACAGCCAGAGGAGAGTACATGTCCTCTGGCTGGGGTAAGTCCAGGTTCATTTGTTCCTGCACTCCTGGCATTATACTTTCTCCTCATACCCTGACGAAGGAGAACAGCCAGCAATGTTCCTGTCTGAATAGGGCAGCAGGGGCTTCAGGCCCCCCTTCTCTCCCTAAAGCCATCGTCACCAACCAGTCAAGTTGATCCCGAGGGCTCAACGAGTCGATAGCGAGGTGTTTGGGCCCCCCCCCCATTTGTTCCCACCTGTGAGAAGCCCCACTACCTACCTCCAATGAAAATGAGTGCCAGCATCCTGCAGGGTGGACAGAAGTCCTGCAGCTGCGCGCCACTTCCGGGAGTTCTGGAAGTGTGCTGGCCGCTGTCCTCCCTCAGGTCTGTGGCGTGCCAAAACTTGCGAGGAGGGAGAGTCCCCAGAGGAGGCATGAGGGGGCATCCCAGCGCCATGGGAGGGGGGGGGGGTACCTACCTCCAATGAAAATGAGTGCCAGCATCCTGCAGGGTGGACAGAAGTCCTGCAGCTGCGCGCCACTTCCGGGAGTTCTGGAAGTGTGCTGGCCGCTGTCCTCCCTCAGGTCTGTGGCGTGCCAAAACTTGCGAGGAGGGAGAGTCCCCAGAGGAGGCATGAGGGGGCATCCCAGCGCCATGGGAGGGGGGGGGGGAGTTGGCCCCGG